CACAAAAAAGCCTAGATAGTGGACATTGCAATACCTGGAGACAGCAGAAGAGAGGAGAAAGAATTGGAGAAAATCACAAAATACAAAGACCTGCAAATAGAACTAGAATGACTCTGGCAAAAGAAAACAAAGATAGTACCAATAGCAATAGGCACCTTGGGTGCAATCCCAAAACATCTGGAGCACCACTTGAACCTCATCAGCATTGTCAAAATCACCATCAGTCAGTTGCAAAAGGCAGCTTTACTTGGAACAGCTTACATCCTGTGATGATACCTTTAACACAAACAACATCTGTCTATCCCAGGTCCTTGGGAAGAACTCAATAGGTGGATAAAAATGCCAAATCCATTCTAAATCTCTGGCTGACTGTGCGACCAAAAATAATAATTTGCATCGAGTTCTTCCCAAGTATCTAGGATGTGGTAATGTATCAGCATAATATATGTGCAGATCCAAGCAGTGTGGCCTTTTGTAATTGACAGATGGAAATAATTTTTTTGGACGGCACTTAGAAAATCTACGCATTGACAAAATTTCCATTTGTCAATTACAAAAGGCCACACTGCTTGGATCTGCAGATATACTACGTCGATACATAATGACATCCTAGGTTCTTGGGAAGAACTTGATGCAAATGAAGGCCAACAGCAGCTAAAAAACTAGCTGCTGTGATTTCACGTTGTTGTGTATATAGTAATAATACAATTTGATAGTATATACTGTAGTCATATATTCCTTTCCCCCCACCCCTCTTTCCCTCCTCCCTAAATGGATTGGAGAAGGCATCGGTCCTTCGCAGCCACCCCTCTCCCTCCCTATCTGGAACTGGTGGAGCTACAGTGGGCCAGGCTTTGCCTGTGTACACTTTTCTGTTGCCAAGCTGAACCACGTCAGTTGGAAGGAGGAAGCCACAGAATGTTTAAGAATATTCACCTCTCTATTCTTGACCGGGTATAAGGAAGCAGCCTTAAGGTGGACTGTCTGTCTAGCTCAGAATTGTTTACTGACTGGCAGAAGCTCCCTGAAGCCTGACATTTGAGATTTCCACACCTTCGTCAGAAGCTTCTCTTCTGTCTGGGGAGGGCAGGTTTGATCTTTGGCATGCAAAACTGATGATGGACTTCTGCAAAAACTCTCTCCCCCTGCAAGGGAGGGCAAAGCCTGCCCTGCAGTCATGACCTTGATTGCCCCAGGCTTGACAGATGAGGATTTGTATGGATGGGACAGTGCATCTCTGGGTGAAGAGCAAAGAGCACTTCATAGCACTGCCCAGAGGCAATATTGATAAGCAACAATGAATCTTGGGTGAGACAGCCTGGAAGATCTGCTCTCTGGTGGCGAGTCCCAGAGCTTTGTGGATTGCTTCCCTGATGCATGCTGCTGTTGGTCAGAGCAAAAGGCGAGGGCCAAAGAGATAGCACAGCAGCCTGTGAGATCAGATGAAATCCCAATTTCCCAGGATGCCAGTGCCAAGTGGCCCAGCTGGCAGCCACGTCAGGCTTTGCATAAATATTCCCTGTTGCAGCTGGCAGTTGCAGCGGCACAGCTCACGGTAGAGATTGTTCTGGTGCCTTGTACAGTCCTGATCTGCACAGTAATGATCAAGGGAGAGAGATTCAGTGCACATTTCCCAGGCAAAGGCTATATTCCACCCCCCACCCCAGTTTGTTAAGGCCAGGCAATGTTACTGGATAAAATAAGGGGCTTCTTTACTGAACTTGTTTTTTTTTCTTTAAAAGAGCAAAGGAATCTCCTGTTACTTTGCTTGAAAATGTGACTTTGGAAGCTCGTCAAACATACAGTTCAAAATGGGAATTTTTAATTTAAAAGATGGAAGGGTAGTGTCTATAGAGGGTCATCTTCACTTAATTTACTGAATCAAAGAGGAAACTTGGCCAAATGAGGAATAGAAGTTCTTGTATTTGGGGCTGGATGAAAGTCAGCAAGGGATTCTGCCTCTCTGCCTGCCCCCCATCTAAAAGTGTTTCATGCATGGAAAGCAGGTGTTTTAAAATGGCAACGTGCCTCCAAACTCATACTTCAGAAATGTACGTAACCAGACAGTCCCTAAAGAGTAATTTGCTATAGACCTGTCAGGCAGAGAAGTAGTGATGACAAGGAGTGATGTGAGGAGCCAACACAGGGGAGAGAAGAGAAGAGGGAATGTCCAAAATAGCTCCTTGCTGCCTTCACTGACCCCTCTGGGGATGTTTAAGGTGTTCTGACTGTATCCCACTGCCCACAGTTCCACCTGGCGTCAGCCTTCTGTAGATGAGCATGCTGAACTGGGGGACATCAACGCTGACATCAAGAGCTTCCGTTCCACTTGGACCAAGTACATCCAAGAGAACAAGCAGAAGTGGAAGGAACGAGCTGCCAGTGGTATGGGAATGCTGGTGGTGTGGGGGAGGTTCAACAGCTTTGGAGAAATTCTCCCATTCAGGTCCCCTTAAAGGCATTCTGTTCTGTTCTGTTCTGTCCCTCCTCTAAGCTGTTAAGAAAAAGAAAGAAAAGGATAATCTTTAGATGTTGATTGAGAATTAGCCCTTGCTTCTGACTCCTTGATGTCTATACACATCAGGCTGCCTGTTCCTTCACACTCTTTTCTATTAAATTTAAAAGTTTTCTCAGGGCAAGGGTCTCCAGAGTTCCATTCCAGAAGAGAGAGACATCAACGTTCTTCTTCCTGCTCTTCTCTTCTGTTTATTAAAGCAAGGCTGGGCAGCTCAAGGCATACAGCCTCATGCCATCCCAATGTTTGGGTGTCTGTGTGGCAGCCCCCGAATCCCCTCAAATCACTGAAAAATCATTGGCACAGTTTCCCCCTGGTTTGAAGCAGAAAATACAAGACAATTAGCATTGGCTTAACATACTTTTACAATAAATAAACAGTAATCCTAAACTAACCCTAAAAGACTCAAATATGAGATGTGGGCCATTTGGTACCATTCCTGGCCCACTGTAGCCTCCAGTCTCTCCCCTTCTCCACATATTAAATGTTGCGCATGATTGCCAAATGGTTGCCCATTCCCCTTTTTCCTTGGGAGCCTTTTCTGAGGCTGGCTCCCTTCTAAGTTCCTACAGTCTCCCCTTACCAACCTCTTTGCTGCCACTTGATCCTCCAAGGGGTTTCTCTGACCCTGGGTCTGTCTATCTGTAGACAGATCTATCTAGATCTATGGGTAGATAGATCTAGATCTATGGGTAGTTATATCTAGATTTAGATCTATGTGTAGATAGATCTAGATCTTATGAGTAGATAGATCTACATCTCGATCTATGGGCAGATCTAGATCTCTCTACCTGTGAAGCTATGCTCCTGACTGATCCGCTCTCTGTCTAGGAATCACCAACCAGACATCTATTGATGAGCTCTCACCTTGTGAGGAAGAGGTGAGCATGCCTGAAAACCGGCACAATCAGAACGGCAATGTGGAATAGCGCTGCGTGCAGGAGCAAGGTAAGGGCTTCCCAGCTATTGCTTATCAGAGAGTGCTGGTAATCCCAGCTGAAAAGCAGGGAACTAGGAGGACCAAGCTGAGCCTCCAACTTTTACTTCCATTCAGTCTTCTTTCTTCTTAAGAGGCTCAATTTTTTATGAGGAAGGGTTATTTTTTAATCTGTGTGTGTGTAATACAGAACTCTTCCTTCCACCCAAGGCCTATCTAAGGCCTTTACACAGCTCTTTCTATTTCTATCTTTTAACAGCAGGCAGCAAGCCAGAAACTTGGCAGGTAAAATTTCATGCCACTGTAACCACACTAGAAAGACCCACTTCCCCAAGATATCTATTGTGCATTCTTACTCTATCTCTGGCTGACGTCATTCTGCTTTGTCTTTGGGGTCACTTCCCTCTTAGTTGGGTTCCAGTTCCACTAGTGAACCTAGCATGGTTGCAAGAGCCCTGGGATGGTGGCAGTTCACCAAAACCGGATTATCTGTGGGCATAATACACAAGACCAGCCAATCTCCCAATGGCCCATGAAAAGGTTTCCAACCAATCCTCAAATATCTCAAAAGTGAGACAAATATAAAATCAGGTGTGTGTGCAGTGATCATATTATGAAAGCTATACAGTGTATATAATGCAATAGTTATACTAGCTATAGAATCTAACTACAGTTATGACGAGGCCCAAGGTCTACAGAGAATTTAGTCTGGGCCCTGCGATCTGTGCTCTCCAGTGATTGTGGGGGATGAGAGAAACCTTCCATATTGAGTTCAGTGATTAAAAGACTACCTTGTTTAGTCTTCTCTTCCCTGAACTTGTTGGAGAAGACTGCTCTAGAAATTATGGGCCACAGACATAAGGCTGCTTCTCACTTTTTCCCCATTTGTTGTGTCAAGTTGAGCATAGCATGTGTTGTTCTTTGTATACCCCCTTCTGCAGTCTGCTATGTAAAGATTGGACTGAGGTCACAAGACCGTCACCTTAAATACTCCTCTGCCAATGGGAGAAATAAAATTGGCTTATCTTGCTGGGTTGCTGTGGGTGAGAACACTTTGGACACTTAGAAGCAGATTTTGCTATCCAAGTGTATTAAATTTCAGATTTCCAGCCTTCACTGCCACGGAATTCTAGTCGCAATGCATCAAGGATACCAGGTTGAAGTAGTCTGCAGCAATTAAGTTCTGTTGCTTTCAGTTCCAAACGGGAAGAGCAATCATCTGCATGACTTATCCTTGTGGCAAGGATCCAGTTATTTTTTCCCCTGAGTCCACCTTTAATTCTGTTTCTATTTTAACTGGCAGGTCTTCAACACAGTTTACTCCAAAGTCTTCGATACCATCGACTCAGCACCATCCGCACAGGGAGGGAGCCCCTCCCCAGCTCGAGAAGGGTGTGACATGAATGCGACCATCAATACTACTAGTAATAATATTAATACTGATAAATGCAAGTGTTACCGAGTCAACGATGTCGACATCACACAGTACACACTGCCTGCCCCATCCCTGAGTTGCAGAGAATGAAAGACTGAGACCCTCCCTCTCCCGTGTAACTTCCTCCCATCACTGAGTGCAAGTGGGCAAAAGGCTGTGGTGACACTGGGACTGGTCACCCAAACTCTTCCCTTTTGTGCCCAACAGCCCAGGTAAGGCTTCTCACTGCCAAACCAGCCAAGCGACTGCCAAGGCCACTGTCACCACTCCCCGCCCCTTAAACAAATATTGGTGGTGATGGTACTGTAAGTGAAGAGTGTGCGAAGGGATCTTTTAAACTCAGCATGGCAGGCATGCATGCATCTGAGGGGAGGGGACTCTCACCCCTGCGTGATGGCCTCTGAAGGAGGCCTGAAGTGGCTGGATCCCAGGAATTCTCCACCCCTTATGAAATTCTCCCTGCAGGGCAACGTCCTGCTGTCTCTCTGTCATCCAGCCTCTTGCATGGATAAATGTCATCCCTGTACTTTGCCTCCGGGTCTTGAAGACATCTGATTTTCAACCGCTGTGGCATTAACTCAGAGTGACTCAGATCTCAAATGCATCACCTCTCCCTCCTTTCAGGCAATAGCTTATACTGTGACCAAATGCTGAACCTCACCTGCATTCCCTCATCCTTGCCATCATTAAGTGTTGCCCAGTCCCAAGCAGTCATTCCAGCATTTCAGAGAAATAAGCAAGTGTTGGAAAGTGAAGGCAATCTCTCTCTTGAAGCAGCAGCTTTTCAGTCCTGGTCTCGAAACTCAGTCGTGTTTCCTTCTCCCATTCATAGACTGAATTCCTGCAATTGAATCTGCAGCATGGAGGCCAGTACACTTTGGACCAGCAAGAGACTTCACAACTCCTAGGGCCTGAGGAACAGAAAGTTCGCAGTATTTCAGTTCAGTCTTCCCCAACCTGGCGCTCTCCAAATGTGTTGCTCTACAACTCCGACCATTTCTATCCAGCACAGCTGCCCAGAATTGGCAGGGATGGTGGGAGAGGGGGTGGGGTGGGAGAGAGAGAAGGCTACTGGAGAATGAAGTGAATTGTAGTCCAACCCATTTAGAAGGCACTCAGTTGGAGACCCCCAGGATAAGTAGTGCATCCTTTAGGACATCACTCTGATCTTTGTGCATCCTTAAGGATATCAGCATATGCTTTTTTCACTGAGACTGTGGGCTTAGCTGCTCCTTCAACAGAAAGCCTGTCTCTCTTGTGATGTCATGCATACATGCATGTTACTCTGTATGGTTATGATCAGGATGAATAAGAGTGATCTCCTGCAGGTGAAGGGAGTTCTGAGAAGGGCATCCACCAGCAGAAGAGAACAAAGGACCAGAGTTTATTTAATCCAAATTAGGAGCACAGAGTAATGTTAGGGCTCAGCTAAGTAATAACTTCATACCTGTCACCAAGGGCAGATTGTCTTTCTCTCAAGCTGCAGACCATTCCATATACCTGAAATGTGAAGATATGTCTTCCAGATCTAATGATTGGCTGCTAAGTAAACTTAAGTCCCAGCATCATTCACATTTAGTAGCAAATTAGAACACAAGCATGGTTTTGACTATTGTTCTACTATAGAACAGAAGCACTGTTTGACTATTAGATGGATGTGGATCTAAGACTGCTGAGCATTGTCAGACGCATGACAGGAACATCTCTTTGATGTTCTTGTAGAAGATTGAGGCACATTTATTACATTAATATGGAAGAGCGAGGCTGGCTAATTCCCATCTTGGGCACATCCTCTTTCATTCACTTATCCTGGTGTTCGCTAAATTACAATAGTCTCAGCTGCCAATCTTCTTGTAATGCTACACAAGCGGAAGTATACATAGCGGGAAACGCTACAGTCAGACAAGGGCATCAGGGTGCAGCGGTTGATGCCAAGAAACCACCACAACTTGAGAAATGGCTCGGAAGATGTCATTTGAGAGGCAAACCGGGCATACGGTGAAGCAATCGTGTGACACTACAGCACTTGCTAAACTGTAGCAGGAACTGGTTAGTCCACGTTCCAAGTACATTTGTGTGTCTTGGTGCTTAATTAACACAGAGCAACTGTGAGAAATCTTAGGCGGAGCCTAAGGAATGGAAGTTCATCAAAAGATGTACGGAGTAGCTCGAGAGCACCCTGAGGAATTCACACAGTGGAATCTCCCCAAATCAATCCATGGAAAACCAGGACACCAGCGGAGAGCTCATATTCTACGTGCAGGGATTTTTCTTCTTAACTCGGGAGAGCAAGGCTGGCGTGATTGGCTCCAAAGTGCAGGCACAAGTGGTTAGTTCTAGGTGTGTTGTCCCAGATGCTTTTACTGAATGCAGAGGTCGATTTTAGTCATTCCTCCCCAACGTTGGCTCTTTCATTATGAACACTGTAAAAAAGGAGAACCGGTTTTCCTCTATGAAAAGTCAATTGGTTGAGCCAACATTGCAGATGATCTCTTTATGATTCTTTCACTATGGAGCTCAGAGCCAGCAGGATTAATGAATGCTTCTTGCATTTGGCTGCCTAGTTCAGGCATTGCAGGAAGAAAGAAGGCGGTTTTGTTTATTTTCAAATTAGCCTCAGGGTGGGAACGGCATGTTGGCATTGGCTAACTCTAGAGGAAGACGTTCTACAAGGAGATGGCTGAATAATAGGAAAAGCCACGGTTTAAGTATACATAAGCAAAAGAGTAGAATATTGCAGAGACTGTGGTGGGACGGATATCTTGTCCATTTGTCCATAATGAATGTCAGTCTCCCTGATCCGCAGTCTGTTAGGCCAACAACACAGCTGAAAGATTCAGGCCTCAGTCCCCCGCCCTCCCCCCACTGCCTTTCATCCAAGTGGATTCTCCTTTTGAAATGGAGACGTAGCTGAGAATTTGCCCTGTATTTCTTCTTCAGCTATGACATCTAATCCAACTTTCTGAATGCTTTCCTGGAGACTGACTTGGTTGAACAAGGATCACTCTGGATTGGAGCTCTCTTTGCCCTGACCTGGCTATTTCTCCAAGTATTCAACTGGGGCAAAACTTCCTGTTCGCATCTCCAACTTCCTTGTCCTCTTCCCCCAGTCCCACAACTTTGTAAATATCCCTTTGTCAACACATTTGGTCCGTGGAACTCTGTATGTATTTGTACCTCGGACATAATTTTTCTACCATGCAGTAACTTTTTTTTGTTGTTGTTCTGTTTCTTGAAGTCAGATTCTTATTATAACAGCTCCATATTCCAATGCCGAATTCCAAATTATGCGCATGTAATAGCAACTTAAAAAAAGAAGAAACAAATAAACAGCAAAATAAAATAAAAGGAGGGGGAAAAACAAACAAGCATTTTGACTCCTGGTTTGTTTATCAGCAATTTCATAGAAAAGGGCAGGCAGGTGGGGTCAATTTTTTTTCTTGCCACCTTTGCCCGTATTCATGCGGGTTTGCTCCATCTGTATTCATTTTCTATTTTTGTAAAAAAAAATCTGCACAGAGTTCACATTTACATACATAATTTGTTTTAGTGTTTTTAAAAATATTCTTGAGCAGAGCATTACATTCTAACATTTAGGAATTTAGTGGAAAAGTATCTGAGTTGCCATAAACATTTAACATTTCCATATAATAATTTGTAGAGATCAAGAGACAATTGTTAGCCAGTTTTCTGGGGTGGGTATGCAGGTGGGAAGAGGGCTTATAATACTAATTAATATGCTATTTTGGTGTAGAGCAGCAGAGTGGGGATATACTAAGTCAATTGCTGGAACAAGATTCCATTTTTAACATAGCAAAAGTTGCCAACATCACTGTGATATTGTATGTTTTGCAACAGGCTTTGAAAACAACTGTCAGGACAATGCAAAATGAGCAGGGAATAAACAAAGAAGTAGTACGCTGATCAGGACCTTGCTAATATTTGACATTGTTACAAGACAGAATCCCATTTTTACCAGTGTTCTGAAACAGAGGGCCAATTTAAACTTCTTATGCTGAACTGAAAGCTAGCATTGATGGTGATTATCAAGAGATCATTCTACCTCAGTATCTCTGATGCCTGCCAAATTGGATCAGTGCAAGCTAGGAGGGTAGTGACTGTACTCCATCTAGTGTGCAGAATGCCACTGAGCTTCACTCCTGACTCTGGTACTTTTCTTTGCTTCCTTCTCCAACCGTATTTTGCAGAATACTTTTTCTCTTGCAGAGTTTTCAGTCTATGCATTCGCATCAATCAGCCCCTCATTTGATAGGGTGAATGTTGAACATTCCTTCAAGGAAAAAAGCTGGCTGTTGTGTTTGTTAACTTGGCTTTACAGTTTAGCATGCTGTGCATATCCAGGATATTAACTTTCATTGTACACTTCCCAGCCCCCAAATATGTTCTTTGTACAGGTAGTCCTCGCTTACTGACTGCCTCGTTCAGCAACTGTTTGAAGTTACGACAGTGCTGAACAAATAACTTTATGACCAATGCCCACATTTATGACCTTTGTAGCGTCCCTCAGTCATGTGATCACCATTACAGTCAGTACATGTTGTCCTGGACCTGACCTGTTGTTTTTCTCCCCCCCCTTGCAAAGTGTAAGGGGAATACGCATTGAAAGGAATGCAGTGGCACCAGCGAGCATGCTATGCAAACAGCCTGGTATATTCCCCATTGTGTGCCTTACTCGCTTGTAATCCCTTCCTCTCCAATCTCTCTGATCTGGGGGTGGGGGAGAAAAAACTGGGTCAGACACAGGAGAGATTGCCTACAAAATCACTTTTTTTTCTCCCACCAACTTGTAATCTCTTGTAATCCCTTCCTCTCTAATGAATGTTAATGCAAACATTAAATCCCTTCTTGGGAATTCTTCCTTAATTCATAAAGGAAGCTGAAGTAAAATCATTAGGAGGCAAACAAAAGCCAAAGGTGTGAAACTAGTCTTGTTGGTTACAGGCAGCAGCTGCACCAGGGTAAGCATTCCAAAGGGTGGGGGGGTGGGGATAAGGAAGCAGTCACAGTCATGTGATTTACCACTTAGCAACAGCTTTGCTTAATGACAGTCCCAATTGTAGTTGCTAAACAAGGACTACCTGTACATTTTCTATGAATGGATTAGAAATTTTTAATAACACCTCCACAAAGCAACAAGGCTGTTTTGGCTAAAATTGGGGGTACCCCTGACCTTCCAGATGCTACAAATCCCATCTGTCCGAGCCATCACAATCAAGAGTTGTGAATTCAAAGTTCAGAAATGTGTGAACTGTAATTGTGATGACCCAGGTTTAAACCTTGCTTGAAGTTCATTGGGTGACTTTGGTCCAGTTTAACCTGCTTTGTGATAGTTTGAGGGTAAAGGAGAGGGCTGTATCATCTATACTGCCTTGATCTTGTTGAAAAAAGAAAGTGGAGTCTTCTCCTCTTCGTGCCTCATGATCCAGAACACCATAGAATCCCAGCCCTGCCCTTACAGCTTTTATAGCCCAATCCTATTCATGTTTTTCAGGAAGCAATTGAAACTCTATTGAATAGATTTCTCTTACAGGAAAGTGTACATAGGATTACATCCTTAGTCAATCTTTGAGTTGTATAAACAGGTCTGATCAATAGGGAATGCCAACCAAATTTGAAATTATCCAGTATAGCATATAGTAAGTGCTATATGCGCTTACTGAGTTGGCAATAGAGAATTCTATATTTCCAACAGCTGGATATAAAACTGGGTAGGTTGTGAGCAGAGAACTCTGGACAATGATCAACAGACAGATCCCTCAGATGGAGCTTCCAAGTGCTTTTTGTTGTATGTTTTTCAATTCTAGCAACCTGAGTTTTCAGGTTGCTTCCTCTTGGAAACGTGTGCTCTTGGTAAGGTATCTTCAGATCGCAAGAAGGTTTTAACTTTCTTTGCAATCAGAGCAGAGTCAGAGGTATCAATATTTGGGGCCAAGAAACAGTCTAGTGAATCAAGAAGAAAGGGTATAACTGTGTTGTGAACGCTGAGGCCAAATGACTGTGTACATGTGGGTTTAAACACTACACAAACCACATTGGCAAAGCCAGTGATTAAGGACTCACAAAGCAAGCAAAGATGACCCATTTAATAAAGAAGCGGGATTCACAGGTGAGGGAGTGAGGATGCAGAGTCCGGAATTGTAGTCCAGATATGTAAAATCAATTCAGGGATATAGCATGTAGGACTAATGACACTTCCAAGCAGGCAGATTGCTCCAAACTTTCACACGTTTTTCTAATTGCAGCCAGCTCATTATCTGGGGTGGGATTATGTTGCAAACAATAATGTAGAATAAGCCCCCTCCCCAAAAGTCACTGACCAACTATATGTAGTCTATCCCTTATCTAGGCTATATTCAACTAGTTCCCTTATTAAGAGATGGAAGGCTTGACTGTATTTCCTATTGAATGGATTTTGTAGTCCTTCAGATGCTGTCAAACTGCAATTTCTAGCAGCCCCAGCCAGCAGCATCAAAGGGGGAGAGAGGCTGCAAACTGTAGTTCGACATCATTTGAAAGGCTGCAGGTTTTGCACTTCTAAAAGTTTAAAACACTGGTAGTACACCTAAAATGAGAAAGGAAAACAGGCAGCTATTGCAAGCACTCATTGCCGTATCTTTTAAAAAGTCTCGTATCCCAGCACTCGTGTCCCTGTTCTGGCATGGCAACTCTAGGAGGTTTTGCACATTCAAGCAACAGAGGCCTGTAGGTGTGACAGCAAAAGTGCTGGTTTGTTCTTGGAAGGCACTGCTGGATGGTACTGCTCCCAACACTGGTGTACCTCCACCAGAAGGGGAATCAGAGGTGTCAGAAAGGAGCAGAGCTGCCCAGTTTTCCTTAACTAACAAGGAGGAAGGATTCAGCAGAGTGGAACTGGAACCAAGAAGCGGGCTTGAACACAGCTAAAGGGGCCCTGCCCCACAAAGCCAGCAGAGAAAATTCTCTTATTCAGGTCCATGTTGGTAATGGTATGGCCCACCTGCATGTATATTGGGGCTGTACAGAGCTTCAAAGGTGGACTTGGCTCACTTCAATGAAGGTTTACGCCATGCATCATGAAGCAACGTGTCCCACCTCCATTTCCTTTGCTTCATGCGGCTTTGCCTAACAGTTCCAGGAGTTGAGAGTGTGTTCTGCCCACGTGCTGCACGCCAGCAGAAGCTTCCATTCTCTTCTAGTCTTCCAGCTGTTGGAGTGGCCAGATGAGGCTCTGAGGTGAGGCACGGTGCCATGACAAGCATCACATTGTCTCTTTGCCCAGCTAGATGAAAAGTGTTGCTTTTCTGGTGTGAGGTACAGCTTCACACAGGCCTAGTGCACACCAGCATGCAGTCCATCATGTTATCGCTCTAAACCTGCTATACAGATTCTTGCTGCCTTGTGATGCATGCTAGGAGGGAGCTATAAGAGTCTCCAGCATACATAAAGCTATGCTAGAGCAGAAAGCAATACAAGGTTCAGAAAACAGTAGACAGCTATCAAAATATTGTACAGTGTAGAAAACAAGGCCTAGAGAAACCTTCCTCTGACCAGATTCCTGGACACGCGGGCTGCAAATCTGGGGAGATAACATCTCAACAGCTTTGGAGGGCATTAGTTTTGGGCAGAAAGACTGCCCAAGGGAGTAAAAACCTTACAGAAAAATGTCCTAGATCTCTCCAATAGCAGAGGAAAGAAAAGGTTGATCGGTGTTTGAGCCATACTATATCATGTCGGCAAGGAGAAACTTCTAATGATTGTCTAAGAACAGTACAAAGAGTGGCACATCAGGAGGTAGAATTCCTGTTTCTTTTTTCACACATATACAGAGTGGGCCGAGGGCAGGGGAATGCACAGCAGGAAATTCAGCCAGGGGTCCTCAACCGTGGAGTCTAAAGTAGTCCAGCTCTAGGCTTAAGCTCAAGTTTCCCAGCTTGTCTGCCTTCACATATGCTGGATTACCATTCTCATTACCTCCAACCAGTATGGCTGGGAGTGATAGAGGTCATAATCCGATCAGGTAGAGGGTTGCTTGAGGGCCTTTATCAGCCCCACATCTGCTGCTTGGGAGATCTAGGCCAACGTTCAGGGTCTAGCACAGAGGCTTCTCTAACCCTGATCAAAATCCTCCCAATGCTCTAGGCCAAATCCCTACAACTGTCTGACCACAAAACCCAAAACAGTGAAAAAGTGTTCTTTTTAAACACTTAAAAAAAGATGGAACCATTACAAATATATGAACAAGTCATTGAAATCTTTAAAAAAAAACACAATCATAAAAAAAAGGAAGGAAGGAAGGAAGGAAGGAAGGAAGGAAGGAAGGAAGGAAGGAAGGAAGGATGGGAGGGCGGGGTGAGATTCATTAGTCATGCATGCGTGCGGTGTGC